CATCCTGGAAAGGGTTAAACCAGGCTGCTCCTTGGAGGCAAGGATTCTGGGGCTTCGTCTGACATACTTTGGACATGTTGTAAGGAGGGACCAGTCATGTTGGGGAGGGTGGAGGGATGGTGCAGGAGGGGAAGACCCTCTATGAGGTGGATTGATTCAGTGACTGGGGTAATCGAGATGGGTGTGTCAGAGACAGTGCAATTGACACAGGATAGAGTAGAGTTTAGGGCTGTTGTACATAGGGTCTCTATGAGTCACAAGCGACCCGATGGCACATAACAACAACAACAACAACAACAATTCTCTTGGCGGCCCATGGTGTTTAAATCTAGCCGTCTCTGCCATGCTTCTATTTATTGGCTTTCTAACAGTTGACGTGAGATAATGATACTGTGGCCTGGAAACTTGAACCATTCCATCTTGTCCTTTGCAAATGATAGTGGTGGAAGATAGTAGTTCACCTAATCTTAAAACTCTTAAAAGAAGGTTGTATCATCTCTGTTTTAATGTATGGGGCAAATGAGATTCAGAATGCTTAAGGAATATGATCAAAGTCACACAATGACTTATTTGGAAGGCTGACCCATCATCCAAAGTCTTTACTTTCCACTGTACCAAATCCTACTTTATAAAAGTCAAGCCTTAGAAGAATACTGTGCTGTGAGTCCTCCCATTTTGTCCTTCTGCATCAGCTAAAGAAAAATTCTACTACAAGAGGGCTGACACAGCTTCAAAAGGATCCATTTTTCAAAAGCTGTCAAGTATTTCCAAGTCTCCCCAAGTCTTCATCGAATATGCCTATCCAATTCCTCCTTGTATGAATTCTAGAGTCTGTTCTATAAGGAGTTGGGCTGCTAATCCAGAGGCCACACCTCTCTCACAGTTCAAATGTGGAAACTGCTCTGAAGGCAAAAGACAGGCAATCTCCTCCTGTGTGATTTACTGTCTTGGAAACCTGCTGGAGGGTCAGCTATGGGTTGTTTCACCTTGATGGCAGTGAGTTCAATGAAGATGTTTCCTTTCCTTCTAATATGTTGTATTGAAATAAGGAAAGAGTTACAGTGATTATAGTGCAAAGGATGAAGGTGGAGTCACTTGAAGTGTCAGCTCTTACACTGCCCAACTTTTTGGCCTGAGAAGTCGCTGGTGATCTTTAAGATCACATCTAGCTCTAAGGGCTATATAATTGAGTACATTAAGACAAGTGATTATGATAGTACGTTGTTTACTGTAGAGTTGGAACCTACCCCTAGCTGACCCTCTGACAGACTTTCAGAGGCAGATAATTGTATGGGAGGAGATTTCCCATCCTTTTCCTGCACAACAGCTCATGGATTTGAACTGTGGGCCTTTGCGATTGCAGCGCAGCTTCTTGCCACTAGGCCACCAGAGTTCCCTTATGAGAGTATAATGCTATATTAATAGCATATTACATTCATATACCATAATGCAGTTTAGAATATCCTTGATCTCAAGAACAACTTTATGAGCTTTATACTCAACTCATTGCAGCTGAGCTGGAACAAACACATAGCTGACCCTCCAGCAGTAAATCGCAAGGGAGGATATTTGACTTCTTTCTCTGGAGGAGCTTCTGGTGGATTTGAGCTGTCAGAGAGGTATGGCTTTAATAACACAACTCACTATGGACTAGGACACCAGAGCTCCTGGTGAGCTATACCAACCACTTATATTGTATCATCTATACTTAAGTATATAATTGGCATTATTTTTGTCATTTCTATGAAAACCCCCCAAAAAAGAGGATTAGACCCTGAGCTTTGTTGGGTGCCTACTGTGCTAGGCTTGGGATAATGTTGTTTCTTTGGAAAATTAGATTTCATTTATAACTCTATCTACTATTCCAGGTCTGTTGAGTCATATCTGACTGAATTTATGAGGATTCTTCACATTATGCATTTATCCACGACCATGTGTATAGACATTCAGATTCTAGAACTAACTCCATGTGGAAGGGAGATGAGACACATACGAACCAGAGACATTAATTATTTACATTAACAGAGGTGAAAGATAACTTGGATGATCCAACATGGGGAAACAGGTGAGCGTCTAGCTGATGGCTTTAGACTCGTCATTGGAACATGTGATCATTTCAACACAAGTATAATTAGGACTGTAGGGAGTCTCTGAGTGGCACAAATAATTATATGCTCAACTACTACCTGGAAGGTTGGTGGTTTGAAGCCCCCCACATATGTTTTGGAAGGCAGACCTGGTGAGGTTCTTCTGAAGGGTCGCTGCCTTGACTTTGAACACATGGAGTGACCATGAGAGAATTGACTTCAGAGCAACTAAGAACAAACAACCTAATTAGGACTTTAAGTTCTGGAACCTCAGTATTTCTGTATGGAAAAGGTCATGGCACACTCATAATCTATCCCCAAATGTAGAACTCAAGGGTGCCTTCCCCTGGGTAACTAATCCTATAAATTGGGTATAAGTGAAATTATGAGATTGTAGCATCTTACCAGAAACTCAGTTGATTTATCACATTTGATAAAAAGATGAATCTTCTTTTGACCATGCTCTAAAATGTGATCTAAGATGCACAAAGGTGATAAGAGAAATGCATACACACTGGGGAATGTGGTGGATGTCATCCAGACAACCCTGGGAGATGTTAAGAGGATGCCCACGTCCAGGGTCTTTGTCCCTGTGGAGGAGCTGGGTCCTGTAGTTGACCTTGTTTTGTAGATTCTGCCTTTTCACAGGTACACCTCACTGGGTGATGGGTTTCCTGGGTGCAGTGATAGGTAAAGGGATCCTGTTCACGTTCACAAGCTTCTGTCTCTTTGTTGCTTTTCTACCGTAGAAGAATGACAAATTGATCTTTTGATTTTAAGTCAGTCCTGAGTAGCTGGATGATCTGGAACTCCTCCTCCATGTGAATTGTGTTGACCCTGGACAATGTGATTATACCACAGGAATCACTTGGAAGAATATCTTCCCATAGCTATTATCAGCATTTTTGGGAAAGGGTGCCAATTCTCTGTTATGTACTATTGTTCCATATGTGTAGGTCACTCACATCCTTGGACCCTAAGTGCTGAAAGCCTCTAGCACTTCTGGAACATTGTGATGACCCCCAAAGTATGCACCTTCTCCTTTCACTTTCAGATTAGCCTCTCCCGCCCAAAGGAGTCATGGCAGAGTCAAAGAGACTATTGCTAGCCAAGGAGGTAGAGTTGCAAAAAAAGAAAATTGTGTTAATATAGTAAGAAGGCATGGAGCTCAGGGGCTCAAAGATTTTCTTCCCCACACTCTGTGCTTGTGGATTTCTCAGGGATCTCTGAGAACGCAGACAGTAGGGAGATGAGGGAAGGGGATTCATCAATTTGGAAAGCAAGCAGTGAAGCCAAGGCCCTCCCAAAGCCCAGCACTTTTCTGCCCTCAGCACAGGAATCTGGGTCTGAAGGACAGCACGTACCTCCCTGGAGAATCCACTCCACAGGATTTTCTCCTCATTGATGAAGAGCCGTTCTCCCTTCTTGGCATAGACGTTGTAATACCCAACTTCCTTAAACATGATGGAGCCGTCCTCTGGAGAGAGATGCCAATTGATGATGGAATAGTTCCCCATCAGGTCACCACACTCATCGAAAGTCACCTGCTCCCCCATATTGTTGGTGAAGTTCAGGTGCCTCAGGTGCTTCAGTACCTAAAAAATGAACAGAGAGGATGATCTGAGCGCAAGCCGCATTCTTGGTCTGCAGAAATCATTCTGACAAAATCATTCTGCTGCAATACTTCCTGGCAGATGGAAGGGAAGTGACATGAGAAACAGGCAGCTTTTCCTAAAGACACAAATGTCCTTCTGTGTGTTAGCAGCAACTCTGACCAGTCATAGAAGTACCACGAGCCACCAGGTACTCAGATTGTAACTTGGAGCAGTAAACATTTCTTTTCTTCACTTTTCATTGTGATTTGAGTTAAAGGTTAGAGAGCAGATTTGAGTAAATTTTATAGAGCATTCAAGGATTCATATGTGGAGGCAGTTTTTAGGGCAATCTCACTGTCTTCCCAGATCTACAATATAGTGCTATGGATATTGGGGGGGAAAAGCGGGGGATTCATATGTATTGCATTTTGTGACATTGATTGCAAATTCCACAGTGTATCAAGTTTCTTCCCACATCCTTCCTGTGTTTATGGATTCTTTGTGTTCTATCCTCCTATACCTTCCTACTTTCTAAGTTTTGTCCCTGGGACAGTGTCGCTGTTTTGATGGAGTGTGGCTGGTTGTTTTTAAGGAGCACACATCTCATTGTTCACCCACTGTTTGGCTGAAGCTGAGCCATTGGAACAAGTTCAGTTCCAGGCTTGAAGGGTGATTAGGGTCAGTTTCAGGGGTCTCATCATGCTCTCTCATATCAGCAAGCTTGGCTATTGAAACAAACAAACAAACAAACAAACAAAACCCCAAACCCAAAACCAGTAATTGCTTTATGTTGGAAAAGGGACACATCTCATCAGGGCTTTTGCTCAAGTTAGAACTTTTTTTTTTTCCCAAGTGCACCTCTCCTGCAAATGTCCCAGTACGGGCAGAGTTTGGAGTTTGTAAGCTAAAGCCCATCCCTGGCATCATCTGAGATGGACATTGAGGAAAGAGAGCTGCCCAGTTGATCTTATAATCTACACTTTCTTTCTCCGAGTATCTTCTTCTGTGGAAGAGACTTTTTGCTCCAAATCACAGTCAGGTGAGATGAAGAAAAATCGAGGCTATCGGTGCAACTAGCAATCCCTGTTGCAGGAGTCAATGTACATCTCTTCATTTATTTATCAGCAAGATTTTGTGGGGTCAAAAGGCTGTTGAGCAAAAAGCAATGATTACAATCACTAAGACTTATTAGTCACTATATTCCACTGTTACTCAAAGTTTTTGAGGGCTTGTCATTTCAGAAGTGGATGGGAAGTCCTGCTTCTTAGTCAGTCTTAGTCTGGAAGCTCCACCGAACCCTGTCCACCATGGGTGACCTGACTGGTATTTGAAATACTGGTGGTACCACAGCACCACAGCAGCATGCCAGCCACAGTATGGTGAACTGACAGACCAGAGACTGCCAGCCGAACAAACACATTTATCTTGGAGTAAGTGGAACCAGGGTGCTTCTTAGAGGCAAGGAAGATGAAACTCCGCCTCTCATGCTTTGGGCATGTTGTCAAGAAGTTGCAATCCTGGGAAAAAGACACCATGTTTAGAAAAGTGAAGGTCAGTGAAAACGAGGAAGACCCTCAACAAGAAGGTATTGATAGTGATTGCAGCAATGGGCTTGAGCATGGTGGAGATCAGGAGGTTGGTGCAGGACAAGGTGCGGATCTGTTGTTTTGATCTTGATAGCACCTAACATAATACCATCAATCACTTTTTGGGAACAGTGTGAAGGGCTTTATATTCATCATCTAATCTACTGATTACAGCAAACTAATTAGGTTGGTACTGTTAGACACTCATACAGAGCTGCTGTACATAGGGTTGCTATGGGTTGCAGGTGACTTGACAACACATAACATCACCATCATCATTATCAACAACATATTATATTGGTTGTTTTTTTTATTTAAGCCTCTTGGCTTAAAGTCAATAAGACCTTGTGAAGGGCCTTTGTATATAAAATTTGATTGTTATATTTTGGAGGAATATTCTTCTAAGTGGTACAGCACTCTTCTGTCAATTTGCTGTACTGAGATAACCTGGAGTTGCTGTGATGCTGAACCTTGTGCCATTGGGATGTCAAATTCCATAATGGTTACCCATGGTGGACAGTGTTTAATGGAACTCTCAGTTTAAGACAGGTTTGGAAGCAGGAGTGACATCCACTTCCTAAATGACATGCCTCTGGAAACTCTATGAACTTTGATAAATGATGATAGTTACAGAAAGGCTTCAGGTCTTTTGTCATAGGGTCTCTATGAGTCATGCTCGACTTGATGGTGATCAACAACATTAACAACAACTGTTAGGCACATTTTTTTTTT